TAAAATATCCCAAGCTAGTGCATAAAGCGGCTTCTTGCTTTGTTGCTGGCCAACTTGGACTCGATGCACTTGAGGGCAACAAATGAAATGCAGCTCAAATAATCCATCAAAAACAAAGGACATCTCAAAGTAATTAAATGATCATGTACAAATACATAAGCGAGTAACTCATTATATATGTATGCTGTGTGTGTGTGTTGTCGCACAGTGGACACTCGACTGTCATTAATTTGAGTTTACAAAAGCCTATTTGTGATTTGTCAAAATTGAATTTGGTCCTTATCGAGGATTTGATTGATGGCCTGTGCTGTTGCTACAAGTAGCCTGTGTCCTTCTAATGCAGCCAGCCGTTCGCCTTCTTATTCGTCTTCTTCTTCATCTGGCCAACAACTTTTGGCGAGCACTTTGGGCCACACTCACACACACACACACACATACAGTTGATTAAGAGCTCAGGCGAAAATGCAAATGCATTGCCGAAATGTTGGGCAGGCTCCCGAGCGACGAGTACTCTGAGAGTCGCTGCACGTGCTCATCAGATTGACAGATTGTCAGTTTAGCAATTCGATGGCAACTGGATTTAACCAGGCCAAATGCAGGCACCAATTTCAGTTTGTTGCACTTTAAAAGTGGCGCCCATTACTCAAATACCCATACACACAGTCACACACACGCACACACACAATGCAAAATGTTGCAGGTATTTATCATTGTTGTTTTGTTTGTTTTTCTTTTTTGTGGACTGGCAAATCTCAAATGGAGTCACATTTTCAATGGATGCGACGCAACTTTTGTCAACAAAAAAAAAAAACAAAAATGGACAAAAAAAAAAGAGCCGGAAGTTGAAGTGCTGTTGGGAATTCCAAAATTTGTTGCCTGCCATTGTCATTTTTGTTTTCGCGGCGGCGCATTCGTGCGTTTTATTCCCAGCCAAACTGTAAATTCAAAGCCAGCGGCGCAAAATCGAACCGGCAACAACAACTGGCACAACCGAAATGGCCACTATAACAACAGGCAGCAATAGCAGTCACCCGATAGCTCTTTTCAGCCATTGAAATTCGCTGCAATTGTCAGTTTTTGCGTGCCATGCAAAATCCCCCAGCGCAAGAGCGAAACTCGACAACAGCAGAACAAAATTATGTTTTTTGGTTAGCTGCTCAGATGGGGACCCGAAAAGGCAGCCAACTGCTTTTTCAAATTAATTTTCAGGCCAATACCCTTTCAGCCAATACCCTATGTGTGAAAAATCTTATGTATGCGTTTTTTTATAGTTCTTTAAGGTATTAGTAAATGAGCATGTATAAGTGCATGCTGCTGTGAAAAGCTCGGCACGCTTTGATTTTGCACGTTGTGCTTTAAGCTTACAAAGCTTTCACGTACGTGTGTCCTGTACGTGAGCTGCAGGCAACAAAGCTCCGAGTGTAGTGCATGACTGGCTTACAGAGTTCGGAATTAAGGACCACTTCTTCGATTTAAAGCAAGGGAATAACATGATAAATGAATATAAAATATGTATTTTTTTTTTATATAGTATATTGGTATATAAGATACTTCAAGGAAAATTATGTGAATAAACTTAAGTGCAGACTGAGTACGTCATCTCAGAGTGAATCATTCCTTTCTTGGCTTAATTCTTGCAAGTCCAAGACGTTTTCAATGACCAGATCAGAGAAATAACGTGATAAATCAATATATATAAATTTATAAATATATATATATTTTTTTTTTTCTGAATGTATTTTAAAACATGGAAAGTTATGAGAATAACCCAAGTGCAGACTCGACAGATTGCCTATGGCTGAGCACAGGTCATCTCAGAGTCGAGCATTCGTTTATTGGCTTAATTCTTGCTAATCCAAGACTTGTGCAATGACCAGATCAGAGCAAACATTGAAGCAAATGTGCTTAAAACTCACACAATGTCCACTTAATGCTGCCCATTAATGGACTTTTAAGTGCAGCCAACAATGTTCCCAGTATGTTTGACTTTATTGTTAAAATGTTCTTCGATTTTCGCATGGCGCATGGCCAAGCTCCTGGCCATGGCCCCTGGTTCTGGGTTCTTCTGTGGGTGCTGTATGGCTTGGACTCATAATCCGTTCTGTGGATGCGGCAACACGTGCCAACTTTCGTCACAGAATTTCTTATTTCTGGCAGGGTAAATAAGGTAAGCGAAAAGCATTTATTAGTGACAAATAGAAAATTTCAGCACCTGCTCAACTAAAACCCCAGCAAAGCGTTGCAAAAGTACAGTTAAGTAGTCTTTACGCAATTTAGAATTAAGTAAGGCGTTTCTAGTGTAAAAGTTACTTGTGTAGAAAGTACTTGTGACTACGTAGCTGTAAAGAATATGTAACAATGCCAGTTGAGAGTGCACAACTAGAAGCTGCCTTGAACAGCAGCCATTTCCTAAACTGCCAAGGATTACAATTCTCAAACCGATTGAGCATAGATATGTGACTGTGAAAGACAAGCTCGAATCATGCTTAAGTTAAATACGATTAAAAAGAATCATTTTCGGTGTGAATAGTTTCTAACCATGATTCTGTCATACGATGTTGAGCATTATTTCATAGCAATAGTATTAATCTATTATTATTAATTGACCACCTGGAACTATTGCGCCTCTCAGTGGAAATCAATTTTTATAGCTCTTCGTCCAGTTGTATCATACACAAAAACACAATTATTTACCCTGGCTCCAAAGTTCTTATTATTCTAGTATCGAGGGTTAGAGCCTATCTATCCTCTAGAATTTGCTCTGCAGTTTCTTCGCTCTTAAGACAGAGTCTTCACTTGTCATGCTCCACAATTTTGAGCTCTTGTAGATTGTTGCACTATGTGCAATGTTCTGATATAAATTTGATTTAATTTGATTCTTTTTTTATTCTTGTATGAACCGCTTGTACACAAACTTGAAATTGAAGACATAACAGAAAAAGTTTAATTGCGACTATCCAAAAACTTAATTATCTGCTTTGTTCTCAGCTTGAAAATTTACAATTTTATTCAAGTGGATTTTCCAATGTGCATGTAAGGAAATACTGCTTCTAGGAGTTAGGAACAGGGTATCTGTGTGTTCTATCCGCTTTTTTTTCGCTTCCAATTGCGCATTACAAGTGGTCACATATGCCATGTGGCACCTCTTAAGTGGTTTCCCTTACACATCAACATTAATATACTCGCACCACAGAAAATTGAAAAACCGCCGAGTAAATTCGTCTCAGCTGGCTCGCATTTCCTTTGGCTGGACTGAAATTGCGGGATTTATATTTATGAGGCTGCCCTGTGCATATGGCAGGGCTCGTGTCCGTTCGGGTCGCTGGTGGATTGGGGATACGCTGGTGGGTTGCTTGGTTTGGTTTGTTTTGGTTGGTTGGCTGCCTTTTGCCAAAAGATATTTAAAATCAAATTTGTTTAATTTACATGCATAAACGCGTCAAATTTGTTTGGGAAATGTGCACCCGGCTGAAGCAATAACCGGAGTGGGCACATTGGCCTGCAAGGGGCTGCAGGGGAGGGCGTGGAACGGTTGCGAGGGGAATCTGCTAGTTCAGGACTGGCCTCGTGTGTGCGCTCAAAGGCAACAACTGTTTCCGTTAATATAAAATGCAAATTTTGGAGCATTTTTAGCAGCGCCCAAAATTGGTCAAATTCTCCAATCGCCCTCCTTCGGCCCCTTGCCCTGCGGTCAGTTTGGTTATGCGCCGCAACAACAGCACAAGATATGAGTTTGTAATAACCAAATCGGTTGGCTGGTTGGCTGGTTAGCTGGCTGACTGGCTGGCTGGCTGAGTTCGTCGGCTTGGTCAAATGCAATGAGTAGTAAAATGTTGTTAGAAATTATGGGCCCAAACGCCGGATGTTGTTCATATCCTTTTTGTAAACGCACGGAAATATGCCCGGCAAAAACAACAAGCAAAATGGAAATGATGTTGGCAAAACAATTTCATGATGTTTTGATTTCGCAACAACATATGTGCATTAACATAAACATAAACAAAACAACAACAACAAAAACAATGGGAATAACAGCTACCAACTAACTCGTTTTAGGCCATGTTTCGCTTTCGATTCGATTGACAGTTGTAATTTAAACTTAGCCGCCAACAATTTACAGCTGCTGGCTGTCATTTAAAATGTGCCAAAAAGAGAGGGCTGCATACAAGAGAGAGAGAGAGAGAGAGAGAGAGAGAGAGAGAGAGAGAGAGAGAGAGAGAGAGAGAGAGAGAGAGAGAGAGAGAGAGAGGGAGAGATAGAGCGAGCGATAAAGTGTATCGAGACTAAATCGTTTTGATGCCATCGATGATTCACCCAGCGGCGTCTGTCTTCAATTTTTACCATATTTTTCCACTCATTTATTTACATTTTCTCAGTCCATAGTCCATCCCAACATCCCTCTTGGGGCGGGGCGGGAATTTATTTATTTAGTGCTTATCTTCGAGGCGCATAAATGAATATCAAATCGAGTCGCAACGCATTCGAGTTTATTCGCATCGAATGACGGCCAACAAAGCGGCGCCCATTTCCATGCGGTTGACGCTTGTTTACACTAACAAGAAGCGAATCCTCGACCCTTCTTCGATGTGTGTGGATGGTTGGACAATCGTGTCTCCTCCACTTTTGTCGGCTCTGCCTTTTCTTTGCGCCCATTGAGGAAACCCTACTCGTTGTTATGGCAAGTGATACGCTCTTCGCCGTCCTTGATATCTTTCTTATTTTTCAAATCCGATTAGCATCATTAAGTTGAGGCCACACAGTTATTGTCGAAGGGACCATTAGATCCATTTGATTGATTTCTCCAAGAGAGAGCGAGTGGGAGAGTAAATCCCCAAGCGATGGCCATATTTAAGCCCTCGACAAGGTTACCCAAAATTGACTTTCGAGGCAACTTTCAATTCATTTCAACGATGTTTAATATCTGGCAAGATACATACAATAAACATAATCTCACTTATTCCTTATATTTTCCATCAAATTTCTGGCTGGAAAACGCACCTTCACTTATCCTTCTTCCGTTCCATCAAAGTTCTGGCCGAGTTACGGCAAGCCAGGCGTATGGCATGCAACACCTGATTCTGCTGCACCTCAAATTTACTCATAATATAATGCACTATATCCTCAACCAAATCCGGCTCGAGCTGTTCCTTGGTTTTCATATTGTTGTGCACAGCGCCGGGTCCCACCCGGCCAGATAGAGTATGAGTACCCAGTGTCTCCCTGCCGAAGATCATGTAGCACAAATCGCGTGTTGCATTCCGATACGAAGTCAAATCAATCCTCAAGTACATTTTACTCGATAGCTTCGTGCCATTTGGTCCGATCTGCATTTTATTTTGCTTGCTGTTCCAGTTTTGGTCCGAAGCTTCTCGCCTTACAAGCTGCCTTCCATTTGTTTTGCTATTTTTATTCCTTGTTGAGTTTCGCTTCTGCAACTCTCTTTCAAGATTTTCCAGCTTGACGGTCAATGATTGAAGCACTCGATCTGTTTCTGTTTCGTATAGTCGACGTGGTGTTTGAGTAAATGCATTCATTTTCAAACCTCGTACGATTGAGCACAGTTCTCTAAACCAACCCTAAGCAATTAGGTTTGAAAGTTGCTGTGTACTAGAGATGGGAGATTGTGTATATCGCTATCGACTGCACCGACTATATTGATTTTGTATGGTATCGGTGGTCTAGTTAAATGTACTGAGATTTTTGCCACTAATAGCAACCAATTCACACTGAACGACATTTAGCTTCTCTCTTCATATGTTAATATGTTGCCTAAGAGCTTGCCTTGCCAACATTTTTAAACCTATGGGAAGTTACTATCCCATATTCCTATCCTATCCCACAACATTTACCCGATAGTTTTGCCATTCCCAACGAAAAGTTTATTCAAAATGTCGGATAAGGAAGCGAGTACGAAAACTAAGCAACACGTTATATTTTATTATTTTGGTTAGAAGAGGGAAAACGTTCCCTCTTTTCGTGAAGTGAATATTATTCAATCGATTTATAATAAGAGAATATTAGGAACAAGGTGGGCGAAGAAATAGCAAATATGGTATTTTATAATGGAGATGTCGGGCTTTTTATAGGCGTTCGAAATGAAGACTCATACTCACCCGAGATGTTCAAATTATTTGAAATTTAGGTAGGGTACTCATGAGCTATTCTATAAATTGTGTTAAAACTATTCCAACCACGCTTTCTACCGCCGATATATGCTAAAGTTTCAGTTGTTTCCACTGAACGTTGCTTTTCTTTTAAAAATTTTCGTTTTAAGTATATTAATGCGAATCTCTAGACACCAGAGATTAAAAATCAGGTCAAGAAGATTTATGTGACATCTGACGGAACTAGGCTGAAACTTGTTTTGCAAGCGAATTTTGTAATATTTTGATTTAGATTAATGTAATCCGATATGCTTACATATGTAGCTTTTAAATGTTTAAATGTTTCTTTTGCCCTAGTCAAATGTTCTAATGTATTTGCATGCTTTTTGGTTTGTTTCGACTTGTGTTTATTTTCGAATAGTTTAAGTTGAGCAAAATACAAACTACAAAGCCAAAGCGATTATCTTTTAGACGAGTATTCCGTTCAAGAAATTAATCATAACTAATAATTGTGAAAGTCGAATTCGAATTCGTAGTATTCATTATTAGCTGAGCAAGACTGAAAACTAATTCAAAACATTTAATAAATATTTCGAAATAAATTTCTTGGTAGAAAATCGATATAAATTCAGGTACAATCCAGAGGACTTCAAGCATATGTAATATTTTTTTTTAAAAATCACAACTAAGAATAGCTGCATTCAATTATGCATCAGGTGCCTCATTCTCTCAAGGTGTCCTTCCACAAAGAGTTTAGTTGAGGGAAACTAAGCAAACAACAAGAAACAAATGTCACCAACCTTTAACCTGTGAGCAGCATCTGTGTTGGCTTTAATCGTATCTGCAGATGCTAATGGCAACTAACAGCTAATTAAGAGAACAGTCTTGTGGCAATTAAATGCCTTTGGCAACTGCAGATACCAGATACCAGATACCAGATACTCATGTTCCGTCTGGATAAGCAAATGGCGTCCGGTGGACTACAATTACCCGCACTATTCGAAGCAGCTGGCCAAATGCTTTTTTCCCTCGAACAAGTTACAGATTGCATCTTTATCTTGGCCCGTACTCTCGTACATATTCTATAAGGCAATAAAAGTTTCTGTGCAATAAATCTGCAAGTTTCTGGACCGAGACTCCAACTGGAGAGGGATAGACAGCGGGAAAACATCTGCAGTTGGCATTGCACACACACACACACACACACACACACACACACAAATTGCAAAAGAGTTGAGCAGAAAACAGGTGGCCCTCGAACTGACGACCATTTTATTTCCTGCCGGGTCACTGATTCACTTGGCCTCCATTCCGGGACGCGTTTCAGCACAAGCTTTGACAGTGGCTTTAAGCCCGCTGCTCCTCGGCACTATCAACACCGTTTTGATATTTGGGTTGATAAAAATTAATGCAATCCGGAGCTCGCCCCTTTGTCTGCTCGTCGGCTCTGACGAAAGTGTTGACGCATACAAATTGTGCATTAGCGAAAAACTCGCAGCTTTCGGGGCATTTAGTTGCAAATGCGTCACCAGGAGCTGGTGGACTGGCAACGGGTGCTGCTCCTGCTGCTCATGCTGCTGGTGCTAGTGACGCCTCCGTTTCGCGACAGCCAGTGGCGAAAATCTGCAAGCATCCGCATGGCATTTGCATAAATGCAATTTAAAATCTGAATTATTCATGAGCGCCGCCATTTGGCCATTTGTCTGAATGACCACTTGTGGCATTCGGCGGCTCCACACCCACACCCACAACCACACCACAAGCACACACACACGCATACACACGCACATTGTCCACAACATTTGAAAATGGACACAGCCCTGCCGCCAGTTCGCAGAGCCTTTTTTCTTTCCTATTCCCTCACAGCTGATATACGAACGGCCGCCCTTTCGGTTCTGTTTTTATACCCTGTGACTTACAAAGCGGACAAAATGGTATAAACATGGCAAATGTGGAAAAATAAACTCAATTACTATATCTGCAATGATCTCGGAGATTTTAGGGTCCATTGTTTAACAATTCAACTTTAGATTAGCTGCCCAACTTGCAATATTTTTAATAGAAAATTGTTTTTCATTTTGATGGTATATAAAAAACCAATAATTTGAACCATAAGCCGAGTTCATCAACGTTGTTCAGTTTGCAACCTGGATCTGGACAGGACCGTAGGAGCGAACAGGCAACATACAGAAACAATTGGAAGCAGATTTTATGCAATACATTTTTGAATTGCTGAGATTTATCAAATTTTAATATTATTATTTTATAGAATTTACGTCCTCAATCAAGTAAGATATTTGCAAATTGAAAATCAACTCAGATATACTGAATACATTTCGAGTACAGGGTATCTGCAGGTCGAGCCCGCTCCAGCAGAGGAGTCTAATATTATTCTTTTTGTTGTGGCAGAGTTGCATGTGCATGTGACAACTTAATGGTTTCCGTTATTTGAAAGCAAAAGCATCGAAAATTGCTGATGTCAAATTGTCGATAAGGATTAACTCTTCCGTTTGTGTACATTTAATATTAGCAGCTGCACATTTGATTTGGCTTTGGCAGTGCTCTGACTGACCGCCAGTCCAGCCAGTCCAGCCAGACCAGCTCGGTCCCCCGCCGCAGCTGGAACGTGTTTATTTTGGATTTGAAAATTACTAAAGTCTATGTAGTTTCAATTTATTGAGCAAACATTTTGCTAATGGGGTGCATTTCCGCTGCCCTGTTGCAAGGGTTTATTTGCCAACAGTTCGACTGAATGGGCGAATTTTGACAGATATTCGTGTTTACAGACATGTTTCCAAATTGTAATTAATAAATTAGTCTTAGTTTGGATTTTTATTTGTCTTTCGATAATTATATATAACTAAGTAATAATATAACTAAATTGCGATTGATATTGCAATGATAATACGAACACAAAAAAATAGAAAAAAATATTTTAAAATTACTTTAATTATTTTTGCTGCTTTTTAATTCCGGCTATGACGAATCACTCTACTTACTGTGCGGTTAATTATGTTGCATGTTGCCTGCATTTAATTGAATATTATACATATTTCAGGATTTATGTTACATTTTATAGACTGTGATTTTTAATAATTCATCTCTTTGATGTTGACACTTGACTTGGTAATTGGATTCAACGAATCACTTGAAACCTTAACCAGAAACTGCTTTCGCAGAATCATATTGAAATATTACAATACACATGTGTATGTGCGCACATATGTGCATATATCGATTTTCTACGGCGTATATAACAAATTCCATCCGTAAAGTTAAATGTCTGTGAATGTTTTTGTCACAAATGACTTTTCCGTTTTAATTGATTGCTGGCAATAAACCGAGCAGGCGCCCATTGTGAATGCGTGCGTGTGTGCCTGTGAGTGTATGTGTGTGTGTATGTGTGTTTAAGTCTAACTCACAGCTGTCGCTGGAAGTTTAAATGGCGAAAGCGTCAACGTCATACGCGCAGCGTTCAAAGGGCGCCACGGGTTGAGGGTGGGAAAATTTTGAAACATTTGCTTGGGACGAACGACTTTTCCAGTTTGCGCGCTTTGTGGAAAATTCCTTGTTATATTCTAAGAATTTGCGACAATTTCAACTTTTATTTGCACAACATTGCAGGGTGAGGAAGAGGAGGGGGACGGGCAGCTGCTCCTTGGAGGGTTGGACGGCATTTATGTTTCAGCCCCCCGTTGGCGCATAAAATTCCCAATTACATTTATGATTTCTTGCTGTTTTGTTTTTTCTATGCTTTCGCTATGATTTGCCTGTTATGTTATTGCAAATGCTGTGCTAGCATGTGTGCGTGTGTGTATGTGTGCGTGTGTGTGTGTGTGTGAGTGGGTGTGTGCCTGCGTCAGAGCGTGCTTTTGGGCGTGTATTTTTATTTTTATCCCACTTTTATTGCATTATTTTCAGAGAGTTCAAGTTATTGTACAATTCAAGAGGGTATACAGTGTTTGTAATGCAGGAAGCAAACACGCTCAACGGATTAGGCCTATATAAATTAAGTGGCAATATATAAATTATATAAAAAAATAAATTGGCATGCGAACATTTTAGATTTCATTACGTTTTTGGTCAGTTTTTTAAATTGATTTCCTTGATACTTAAAATTACTTTAAGATTAGGAACCTAGGGTATTTCATCGTCATGATCTGAAAAAGTATTTTGTTTTTTTTTTTCTGGAAATTGCATGTGTTTATAGTCGTATTCATGCTTTGGTTTGCTTTGGCCCCGAAACGGAACGGAAATGGAGCCATTTTGTGTATTGCTTGGAACGTGACTGAAACGCAATTTTCCGAGCTTAGTTTAATTTGCCTATATTAAGCCTGCGATCGACCGTTTTTCCGCCTCCGACCTAACTGCCCCGACCGTCCGACCGCGAGCCAGCAAGCAATAAAGAATTCTCTCAATTCGATTGTGCA